GGGGGGTATAGGAAACACTGTTAGCTCAGTTGGTATCATGCTGGACTACGCAGCACATATTTGAATTTTTAAGGCTTCTCTTTTCCGCTCATTCTGGCTGTGTCCTATCGGAGACAGACACCTCTCAAATAAGCTTTTCAGTGTTGAAAAGTGTGTTAAATCTGTTCAATGACTAGGGGGGAGGAGGGGAGGATTGAAATAATTTGATGATCTGTGACAACCAGGCTCTTTTTTGCATGTGCATGCCTAGTGACCTTGACCTGTCTTCTGGGTTAGTTGCTTGAGTAACCGATGTGTTGCAAAAACATTCTAGAGCAACGACTGTCTCTGTACGTCTACTTGGGTTTCTTTCAGAACACTCTGTAAGTTGAGTGGAATTGAATTGAACAGTTTTAAAAACGTCACATTATATATAATGCATTTGAGGATGTACATTGTATGTGAGGATTGCTTCTTGGCTCACAATGTTTGACATACTGTGTTGGAGCCGTCACAGAGGGGAAGAAGGGGTAAACCATGAGCTGTCTGTGGTAGTTCGTATAGTCATGTTGTTGAGCTTCTGTCCGACTCTGCGCTTTGAGATGTACCGCTTCTGAATTGCTCTGGAAAGATGTCTTCTACTGTTGGTGGTTTGAGGGTGCCTGCTACTTGCTGGTCCTACTACTTTTTCCTCTGTCTTTAAGTCTGTCTTGCTGCTATTTCTTTTTCTTTTTCTTTTTTTTTTCCCAAACACTATTTGACTCTTTGTGCCGATGTATTTCTCTTTACTCAAATGCCTTTTGCTTACCGAGGTGGTACAGATGGGTTTCCTTTTTGTTTTCCAGCAATGATATCTCAGGTTAGACATAACTGTGTTTCATTGGTTTGTTTTGTTTTTCTAACATAAATCCATGAATCAAGTTTTTATTGGTATATATTTTTATAAATCTTTTTAAATGCATGAAATAGTTTCCAGTGAGCACTCTGTAAGAAGAAATAACTGAACTGTACATAATGAGTTTTTGAGTGTCCAATGGGTCAGCTAAATCAGTGATGGGATTTGGGGAGAGGGGAGTATTGGGGTGGTTACTAGCACAAGCTTTATCAAATTGGCCTTTTTCACATTAAAATATGGCCTATGGTTACACAAAGTTGTGGATTGTAAATCACAAGATATTTTTGTTTTTCAAAGTATGTTTATTATGACACTTGTTTTCAGTACTGCATGTTGTTTTCAAAAATGTTTTTCACTGTTTGTATTATGAATTTTACGGAACTGTTTTTTGTTGTTTGAAAAATGTTTTTCCACATCTGTATCTATTTGATTGAAACCTTGACCTTGACTTTTATTTTTTGATATATTTTCTTTTTGTTCTTATTTTTTGTTTTGTTGGTTTGTGTTTTTTTCCCCTAAGCCCACCTCCCTCGTTCCACATCTTTATCCATGTCATGTCATGTGGCATTGTACAGCGGATGTACCTGCAAATCTGTGATGTTTATTGTACCAAGGGTTACCGTCATTTAAAATTCT